CCATTGTGTTAGACTATAATGTTACCTCACAAGATCCCTACTTGCTCTATTGTACATTTTATATGTACTTACTTGGAATATGTATTTTTCCTAAAGTTGAATCTTCCCACGTTCTCCCTTGGTTCCACGTTCATATATACCTTGTATTTGATATTATTTAGTGAGTATTGGGCTATCATATAGGGTTCAAATCTCTTAGTTGAATGTTAAATGTCTTCACTTGATATGTGCTTCAATTTGAGATGTCAAAATGCTTAACTGAGTCATATGCTCCTAAGTATTACATGTGCATGTCACATTTGTTTCCCATGTCATTGTTGTTGTCGTAAGTCCATATTCATATGTCCTCCACTACTGGTCCATAGTTCCAAATCTCAACAATGATTATGACCACCAAAACAGCAATCTCAAAAGAGATAATGATCATCAAAAGAACAATCTCTAAAGAGTTATGTTTATCCAAAAAACAATCTCGAAAGAATTATGAACATCAAAACAACAATCTCAAAGATAAGAATTTAAGTGAAGCTATCTATATAATTATGGGTGGCAGCCCAAGGGCAAATACCTAGCATTGGTCGATCCCAATTGGTATAGAAGGGTGGCAGCTCAGGGGTGAAAGTCTAGCATGGGCCGATCCCAATTGGTATAAGAGGGTGTAAGCTCAGGGGCAAAAGCCTAGCATGGGCCGATCCCAATTTGTGGAATTATGAGGACAGCATCTCAGGGGTTAAAATGCCTAGCATGGGTCATCCTCTTCTACCGCTGATCAGCTGGTCATTTGTATCATATGTCTTATAAATATTATAATGCAAAGAAAAGTAAAGAAAAGAATGAAACATACACGATTCCACAAGTATAAGCAAATGTGGTCTCTAATCCTTATTTATTGCTATTTGGTTTCACTTGAGCTCTCATTTTATATATGGTTGTATTATGCCTTACATATTTACTACATTCTTTCGTACAAACGTCCCTTATTGGGGATGCTGTATTTCATGCTGCAGGTACAGGTACTCAACTAGTAGATCTCCCCCATAGAAGTACATGATACTCAGCGGTTGTTAGTGAGCTCCAGGTTGATTCGGGGCTTTGTCAAGTCTTTACTATGCGTATTTCATAGTGGTACAGTCATGGATTCCAGTAGAGGCTTTGTAGACATTGTAAAGCTATCATCTGTATTCATAGTTTCACTTGTCACATGTATCGGTTCAGCTAGTCAATATGTGTTATATATGAAGCTTCTCATCAGTAAATATATCTACATAGTAGTTTACTTTCTAATCACAGGTCACTTGTAAATCATATGTTCATATGGTTCTTGTCCGCCTTACCTAGGTTTGGGTTGTGACAAAGATCCTCCGAGCCGGTTATTTTTGGATGACTATGGAGCATGATTGTTGCAAGTTTGTGCAGAAATGTCACAAATGTCAAGTGCATGGAGATTTGATTCGAGTGCCGCCTCACGAACTCAATGCCATGAGTTCACCTTGGCCATTCGTAGCTTGAGGCATGGATTTCATTGGTCCAATAGAGCCGGCCGCCTCTAATGGACACAGATTCATTTTGGTTGCCATTGACTACTTCACCAAGTGGGTGGAAGCAGCTTCGTATAAGTCGGTGACCAAGAAAGTTGTAGCTGATTTTGTTCGTAACAATTTGATATGAAGGTTTGGAGTACCAGAATCCATCATTACTGATAATTGAGCGAATCTCAACAGTCACTTGATGAGAGAAATATGTGAACAATTCAAGATTACCCACCGAAACTCAACCGCTTTTCATCCCCAAATGAATGGAGCCGTAAAAGCTGCCAACAAGAACATAAACAAGATTTTGAGGAAAATGATTGATAATCGCAGAGATTGGCACGAGATGTTGCCATATGCTTTGTTGGGTTACCGAGCGACTGTCAAAACATCAGTTGGAGCTACTCCATATTTGCTAGTGTATGGAACAAAACCAGTTATACCTGCCGAAGTTGAGATACCTTCACTGAGAATCATCCAAAAAGCTAAATTGAGTGATGCTGATTGGGTTCGCAAGCGGATTGATCAGTTAACACTGATTGATGAGAAGAGAATTGTTGCTGTTTTTCATGGACAACTGTATCGACAGAGAATGATTCGTGCTTTTCATAAGAAAGTAACAACCAGGATATTTGAAATCGGCCAGCTGGTCCTTAAATGCATTTTCCCTCATCAGGATGAGTACAAAGGGAAATTCGCACCAAATTGGCAAGGACCCTACATGGTTCGTAAACTGTTATCTGGAAGTGCCTTAGTCCTGTCGAAGATGGATGGCACCGAATGGCCAAAACCGATCAACTCAGATGCTGTCAAGAGATATTATGTGTGAAGCTTCAGTTTGTACTTCGGCTATTTCCTTGTAATCGCTCTATTTGCTTGTAATTTCTTTGTTTAAAATCTATCCCTTTGTAATGAACTACGTTTGACCTGAATTCTCAAGAATGAGATACGTAGGCGGCCTATGTCGGCCTTGGTCACTCCTTTATCCCCTTTTAATAATTCTTTGTATTTGAACTACGATCGACTTGAATTCTCAAGAATGAGATACGTAGGTGGCCTATGTCGGCCTCAGTCGGCTTCTTTGTAAATTCCTTATTTTTGTTAATCCTCGAGAGGGGGAACTACGTTTGACCAGATTCCTACCTCAACGGGATACATAGGCGCCACAAGGGCTCGGTCATTTTTCCCGTAAGATTTCTATTTCTCTTTACAATAGAAATTGGGACAGAATTTTTGAGGGGGACTCAAAAATTCTCGAGAAGGATTTCTCTCCAACAAAGTCAAGACTGAAGTTACTTTGAGATTTGCAACTGGGACAGAATTTTTGAGAAGATCTCAAAAATTCCATGATTTGCTCACCAACAGTTTGAGATAAGCCAAGACAGTTAACTGGGACATATGACCTCAAAAATTTTGATAAGGTTCATCGGCAGTTTGGAACAACTTTGAATACCTCCCAACAAATAATCAGATAGATCTCGAAACGTCAACCCCAAAGGATTTATTAAGCTCGACGTGACATGACACTTGGCAGTGACCTTTTCCAAATATTACTTTAAAAAAATCTATTTTCCTTAATAAATTTTCTTTCATGTGTCAATTATTTTTGCATAAAAATATTTTGTCTTATCTATCAAGAAGCGAGGGATCGGAGAAATCAACCGGAGATAGCAAAACAAGGAGCGGACAATCGAAGAGATCGACACAGATCAATTCATTTTTAAACTAACAATTTCCCTATGGATTCAGGTCTATAAGCTCGCCTCAAGATCAGTATATTCCTCCATTCAATAAATATGGAGAAGTTGAAAGGGCGAGAAACTCCCCAAAATTAATAATTTTTCTGTAAATTCAGGAAATATTTTATGCTGCTTATATCAAAGATTTTGGAATATGAATAACATTATTTCATTCAATTCACTCTAACGGAAGACTAAATAGGGACACGTGGCACAATTTTATCCGTCAATAAATATCGGATCGGTGGATAAGATTATGACACGTGTATCTCTGTTAGTATAAAGGGTATATATGATCTAGTTTTTGGACGGCAGGGGAACCAATGTCCCATAAGTATGGAAGAGGGTATATGTATACCATTTACGATAGTTCAGGGTATATTTGTCCTTTTTCCCTTTTTTTTATTATCATATGATACTTGTTTGAATTTCATATTCAGCATAGTTAGATTTATTACTCTTGCGGCTAATTTCTACATCCAGTTGAAGCTGAAACACTCTTCTTTCCATTCATTTGATTATGGTCCTGTTTGTTGTTTCTGATTTAAATTTGATTAGTTATGTGGTCATCCGTTTTAAATGTGTAACCTTCTAAAAGTTGTTCTGTAGTTGCATTTGATGGTTCATGTTAACTTAAAGTTGTTGCTTCTTCTAAAATAAGCCTTAAGTCGCAGTTCCTGTCTTGTTTGGTCCAGAAATGATCTTCGAGCTTTAACTTTTCAACGTGTTAAACTGATGTTATTTGGTTTAAGTTTATTCATTTTTCACATGTTGCCGTGAAGCTGAGCTTGTTTAAGATTTATACTTAATATTTCTAATAGTAAATTTCTCTTTGTTACATAATCATAGTTGTATAATAAATATAGATAATATAGATGATTTTCTAGGATCTGAATATCTAGTTACCATAGTTAGATTGCTCTGAATATCTAGTTTTCATAGTTATATTGCTCTTTACATGTAATTATATCATTGTACTCTTTGAGGAATAAACACATTATTCTCCATATCTTGTCTCAAGTACATGGTATCAGAGCCACTAGGGCTCAGTTCTTATGCTCCGAAATTATGCAGCCTTTCTGATTGTTGAAGAAAAGGACTCGACAATTTGGGTCACCCAATATTAGGGTGGCCGCGAGTGAGTCACATGCTGCTACTCCACCTCTCCGCTTTCACGCTCTATCGCCACGGTAGGATTGATCACAACCTGCTCGTCGCCTCAACATTTTTAGTCAGAAATTGGTGTACGTTGTTCAAATTATTCAAATTTTGAATAGAATTGACATCATTCAGGTTTTATCTTTCTCGATATGTTATTCCCTATTTATAGGTATTCTTTGTTGCTGGAGATATGGTTTGTTTTATTTGAGAAGTTATAATAATTTGGCTGTGGGAGTAGAATATTTTGACCCATTTAGTTTGTTTGGTTCAAATCTGGTTGATCGTAAAATAAATACTTTTGTTTGAGAGATTTGTAATATTTGGCAGCCACGGTGGGACAGCTGAATGTTGTGAAACTTTATTGGTTTGAGTTGTTGTATATGTGGTCCCTGCTCCCTTTTCTCCTTCAAATTCTGGAAAGTTTTGTTGGATTGCTTCAGTTGGTGTGAATTTTGCTCTAGTTAAGTTTTCAGATCTATTATTTTGGGAAAAATGATTGATTACAAAAGTCAAAGATCTCAAGTTGTTGCTTCTGTTCAGCAAAATGAATCCACTTCAGTTAATGCCTTTGTTGAGGCAGATAAAATATGTCTTCTCACCTCTCTAAATAAATGGTGATCGATTCAGGTGCGACAAATCATATGACGGGTAATCCTAATATTTTTTCTAGCTTTCAATCACATAAAGCACCCTCTCCGGTTACTGTAGCTGATGGATCAACTTGTAACAGTGTTGGATTTGGGACTGTTAAACCAACATCCTCCATTATACTGTCATCTATATTAAGTCTACCAAAATTGGCCTTTAATTTTATTTCTGTCAGTAAACTTACTAGGGACCTTAATTGTTATATCTCATTTTTTCCCGATCTGGGATCTTAGGACGAATCAGGCTATTGGTAAAGGACATATTTCTGATGATCTCTACATTCTTGATGAATAGGAGCCTCAATTGGTTGCCTGCTCTACTATCATGTCTCCATTTGAAGCACATTGTCGATTGGGTCATCCTTCTCTGCCTCTGTTGAAAAAGCTATGTCATCAGTTTCAAAATATTTCTACATTGGAGTGTGAGTCATGCAAATTTGCAAAACATCATCGCATCTCGTTACCTCCAAGGGTTAATAAGCGAGTTGAGTCGGCATTTGAGTTAGTTCATTCTGACATTTGGGGACCATGTCCTATGGTTTCTAAAACAGGACACATGTATTTTGTCACTTTTGTGGATGATTTCTCTCGAATGACTTGGATTTATTTTATGAAGAGTTGCTCTGAAGTGTTTACTCAATTTTGTGCCTTCTATGCTGTACTGAAAACTCAATTCAATGTTTCGATACGTATTCTAAGAAGTGATAACGCAAAAGAATACATGTCAGAATTGTTTGGATCGTATATGATACAACAAGGTATTCTCCACCAGTCTTCATGTGTTGATACATCCTCTCAAAATGGAGTTGCTGAGAGGAAGAATAGGCATCTGCTTGAGACAGCTCGGGCACTGTTGTTTCAAATGAAGGTCCCTAAATAGTTTTGGGCAGATGTGGTCTCTATGACATGTTTTCTGATTAATCGCATGCCATCTACTGTGCTTGTCAGTAATACACCTTACAATGTTCTTTTTCCAAATAAGCCACTATTTCTGGTGGAACCTAAGGTATTTGGAAGCACATGTTATATTCGAGATGTTCGGCCATCTGTTACTAAGTTAGATCCCAAGGCTTTGAAGTGTGTTTTTCTAGGCTATTCTCGTCTTCAGAAAGGGTATCGGTGTTATTGTACTGAAACTGGCAGATATCTTATGTCAAATGATGTGGTACTTTCAAAGACTACACCATTCTTTTATGCACCTCCCATTTCTACAAGTCAGGCGGAGGAAGATGAGTGGTTAGTATATCAAGTCACTCGTGTTGTGACAGAACAATCATGTGTTGTTCCTTCATCTCCCAGTTCTTTTGTTGATCATGACCCGACAAGTCTACCTTTAGTACCTTCTCCATCTACGGTAACAAGACCACCAGTTATTCAAGTCTACTAAAGGAGGAGAGAGAATGATGATACTTGGCATGCACAAGTTCTGCCGCCTGATCCTCCAGAAAATCTTGGCCTTCCTATTAAGCATAATGTGATGTTTTTTTTGTTCAAACTAGAGCGATTTAACCTCTTTTCCTTTGTTGTTTTGGGTCACATACCGTGTAGTCTAAAATATGGTTTGGTTCTGGTTCAAGTTCAGGTTTCAGATTGTAGTATGTCCCCAGTTCATGCTTATTAAATTTTGTGTTCATCGAAACTTGATTATGCGTACTCTTGGAGTTTTTGAAAGTTTGAAACTAAGTCTTTCTTGATTTCATTCGAAAACACTTATGGTACGACTACTTTGAGTATTATTTTGAATGTGAATCAGTCTCTTATGTACGTTTTTTAAAAATGTGTCTTGTTGCAAATCTTGACTTAGGAATAATCTACTGATCTTTTCTTTGCTATTACACTAATCTAGGTTACCTAATCTTGTATTGGATAAAGAAATAGAGTGTACCATGATTTCTTGCCTTATTCACTTTGTAATTAAGTCTTCATGCAAGATTTCATCATGGGTATGCATGAATGCTTCTCATTTTTACAAACACATTTCTCGTTTGCTTCTCCATACAGTAGGGTACCAATTAACTTAGTCCCTTAAAATGTTATCATTTGTTTTCCTTAAAATTGAATTTGGATCAATAAGATTTTTATATAATTTTATCTTTTGATACATGTGTTATCAATTCGAGTCCACTTTGGACTCCATCCTCACATTTCGTTGAGTTGAGATACATTTTCGAGTTGACCCCCATCAAGTCGTTTGAAAGGGAAGCTCATATTTGGATTGAGAGTCCATCTTATAGTAAGACATTAACAGGAGCAACTTTGACAAGAAATAATGGACCAAAGTC